GCACCGTTCCTAGTCCCCTCCCCTGCCCCTCCCGTCCAATGAACGCCACTCGTTAGGGGCATGCGCGGCGGGGACCACGCGCGAGAATGGCAGTTGGACGGAGCCTGCCTGCCGGTGCTCCGCCCCTGCCCCGCGCTTGACTGATGCCAATGAGAAGCGCTCCTTAGGCAATTGATGGTTGAAACAACCAATCCCACCCCTCCAGGGCGGGAGCGCACGTAGAGCAGCTAGGTGGGCTCCTGAGTTGCCACTGCTCCGGCTCCGAGACCCCCTGCAGTCCCTTTGCGTGCCTTCTATTGAAGATCAGGAACTGACGGCTGTTTTAAATCTCTCAATTCCAGAAAGTTTTCTGGAGACCTGTCTAGTCGGAAAGTCGAGGGGCAGTTGTCTTGGTATTTGAAAAGGGGGTATCCGACGAGGCGGAGCTTGAGGGGGTTGTGTCGAGTGATTGATAAATCTGTCAACCAATAAGGCTACTCTCTCTCGCCTCAGGAAAACCATCACAACTCCAGCTGGATGTGTGCATAATACTGTAATCATGATTCTATTTTGTTTAATAAAATAATTCATTCTTGAGACTAGAGGTCTCGAAAGCGAAGATTGGCACTCCTCAGTCTCACCACGGACGGTTCGCAGGCCGATGCTGAACAGAAGTCCCCTTATCAAGGAGGCGTCACCCCTGGGCAAGTTCAGCATCAGTCAATTGACCCCTACAGTCAGCATGATAGACGTTCTCCCAGACCAATAGCTTTCTGGCTCGGGGCGGGTCTTACAGGGAGGGCCTATGAGATCTACGTCGGCTGAGCCAATAGGATCAGGGCAGGGGGCGTGGCGGGAAGTTTGAAACTTGTAACCTCGGGAGTTGAGTCACGAGCTGTTGTGCACTCAGAGGTGGAATTAGGGCCCGGTAAGTGATTTGAATAATTTCATAAATAAGATAGAGGGCTCGGCAGGCCCAGAATGAGCCATTTGGTCAGCTGCAGCAGTCATTAACCCCGCAGAGGCCTCTGGTCTCCCGCCAGGAGCTTCCTCTACTGGAAACTGGGAAGACAGGGTGGTTTAGGGTCGAAGGTCCGACGTGGTCGGGATAAGCGCTGAGACCTGAGTCACTTCTTACAGGCATTCCCTCCTCGTCCCAGGCCGGGCCTTGCCCCCACCCTGCAACTCCTGGTTGAGATGGGCTCAGCCAAGAGCGTCCCAGTCACCCCAGCGCGACCTCCGCCGCACAACAAGCATCTGGCTCGAGTGGCGGACCCCCGTTCACCTAGTGCTGGCATCCTGCGCACTCCCATCCAGGTACTCTGGGCCAGAGTGGGAAAGGCAGAAAATGTCTGAATTCTTGCGCCTCTTCTAACCTGATTTTGAGAGAGCCCTCCTGCCCCCACCCTTGTCCTGGCCTTATTTTCTGCATTCTCAATCTGTTTGGGGTAGGCTGGCTATCTGAGGGCCTTGACAATTCCTTTCTGGAATATGGTGAGAAGAGGAGAGAAGAGTCAGGGCCCAGACTCTTTCTAGCCTATGGTCCTAACAGGTGGAGAGCTCTCCACAGCCAGGCCTAGCAGCAGGGGAGCAACTGGAGGATCTTAAACCTGCCCAGGACTCAGATCCCCGTTCTCCTACTGTTGGTATTGCACGGACACCTATGAAGACCAGCACGGGAGGTAAGTGTTGGGCCCAGGGAATGCTGATGAAGCCGTAATCTATCCTTGGGTAGGGTCCATGAAGGGTCTCCATCCTCGGACCCATCACACTCTTATCTCATTTTTTTGTTCCCAGGCTGGGTGTGGTGGCTCATGCCTGTAATCCCAGCACTTTGGAAGGCTGAGGTGGTCAGATCACTTGAGCCCAGGACTTCAAGACCAGCCTGGGCAACATGGCAAAACCCCTTCTCTACCAAAAAAAAAAAAAGCACGGTGGTATGGGCCTGTTATCCCAGCCATTCAGGAAGCTGAGGTGGGAGGATTGCTTGAGCCCAAGAAGTCAAGGCTGCAGTGAGCTATGATTACACCACTGCAGTCCAGCCTGGGGGACAGAGCAAGCCCCATCTCAAAAAAAAAAAAAAAAATTGCTCCCTTTCACCTTGCTTTCCTGATTTCTCTCTTCCCACTTGCTCACCCGCCTAGGCATGAGTCCTAAGGTTCCTGTATCTTTTGTTCTTTGCTGAATGATGTGTATCAGAAGGTCACTGTTCACTTCACTTCCTTCCTCTAGACCCTCCAAGCCCACTGGTGAAAGAGCTGAGTGAAGTATTTGAAACTGAAGACTCTAAATCGAATCTTCCCCCAGAGCCTCTTCTGTCCCTGGAGGCACCTTTATCTTCTGAGTTGGACTTGCCTCTGGGTACCCACTTATCTGTTGAGGAACAAATGTCACCTCGGAACCAGACTGAGTTCTCCTCCAAACAGGTGTTTTCCAAGGAGGAAGCAAGACAGCCCACAGAAACCCCTGTGGCCAGCCAGAGCTTGGACAAGCCCTCAAGGGACCCTGAGACTCCCAGATCTTCAGGTACAGAATCTAAAGGCAACATGTAGGGAAGATAAGCCCAGATAATGTCCATGGGTGAGTGTGGGAAGAATAAACTGTAAGCCCTAGTTTTGGGTCCTTGCTTTAATTCCTTACCCACCCCAGGTTCTATGCGCAATAGATGGAAATCAAACAGCAGCAAGGCACTGGGGAGATCCCCGCTCACCATCCTGCAGGATGACAACTCCCCTGGCACCCTGACACCACGACAGGTAAAGGAAGAGAAGGTAAAAGCTGTTAGTAGGATAT